TTTTTTTAATTACAAGAAGAATGTAAGAAAGCTAATTGCTTGTCCCGGGTCTCTCTTACTTTCTGGAGGCTCACCCAAATGGAGCAGTCCATTTCTGTGTCCTTCTGAAAAGCTATGGCAAAGGGAAAATGTTGTTCAGCACAGTACAAATGAATCTAAGGATTTTGTTGGAAACTTATCTATGGTGTCCCCATATTTGATCTATTTTGATATATATCAAAATAGATCAAATATGGGGACACCATAGATAAGTTTCCAACAAAATATATATATATATATTCTATTTTATAAAAAATGATCTCAAGAGCTGAGAATGTAGAGATCATTATTCAAATTTTATTTGAGGCTTTACCACAGTAAGTTAAATTTATCCTTCGATGTCACTGATCAGCGGGGCAGTCTAAAATCTGTACCAGCGTTTGCAAATCATGGCAGTTGTAATAAAGAATCAATAATAATGAATGAGGAGCACGACCATATAAGTAGAATGCACTTTATTAATTGGGTACAAAATAGCAGGTATCTCAAGATGTATACCAATAAGCCTTAGCATTCATAGAACTATACACATGCAATATATATACACAATATATCACAATTACAAAAATGCATGCTAAATGATTGAAACAGTAGTACCATTCCAGATACAGAGTCTTAAAGATACCTGAAAAAGAACTGCCCAAACATTAATACATACCAAAAAAAAAGAAGTACCAGAAATAGTGAGAAGAGGGAGAAAAATCAAAATAAAGCCCCCTCTGTACTAAAATTGCAATAAAGAAACCATTATATTAAAAATTGTTACTGTCCTTAAAATCAAATTTAAAAAGGTCAAGTACATTATCCATAACATATATATAGTGCCAGTGTGTGCAAAGCTCATTTAATTTTTATATTGTTAAATTTGCATTAACTCTTAATTTCTATTTCATTTTCAAAGATTATTGATTTGCATCCTATGTATGTGTCTTTGGTTATTAAATGGAAATGAGCTTATTATTCTAGTGCAATCTATTCTGCAGGAAATAAAGTCATTCATTTTAGGAACCATTTTCTGAAGAGTGAAAAAAACAATGCCACAATCTTCCATACTAAGCAGAGACTCATACTATTGTGAGGGACTACATCATTTCCTCATGCAGGATGGGTACGTGGAATTACTTGCTGAACGACTGGTGAGGAGAGCAGAAAGTTTGTAAGCTGAACCTTCGACTCTGATGATTGTTGTATTAGTAATTTTATATTACGTGTTATAGTTAACTCTAACCATTTATTGGGACTATGCAAAATATTGATATTGTCTTTTTTGCAAAAGTTAAAAGTATAAGTGATATCTAAAATCAAATTTAGTACTGACAGAATTTAAATCAAGGCAACATTGTTCACAAGTGCAAGTGTGCACTGATCATTTATTGCTTAGCCAGTTTATTGGTCTGGCAAGGAAGGGAAAGGGGGATATGGCAAGAGTACTGCACTTGCTGTATCACAGAGATGTTTTGAAATAAAAAGTGAAAGGAAAGAGAGGCTTTCAAACTGTATAAGAAAGTCAAGCCCCAGAGGTCAAAGTCTGTATTGACCCCTCCCTAATTAGGTAGATCCAACAAAAAAGCAATGCCATCAAATTTTCGGATTGAAAGTGAAATCCAAAGGTTTTCAAATTGTAGCAAGTAAAGGAAGAGGAATAGGACAATATCATTGATGCTACTGTTTGAAAGATAAAGTACAGACATTCCCCGATCAACCTTTTTAATCTAACACAATCAAGGCCACAAATTGCATGGAGTCAAAGTGAAAACCAATGGTTTGCAAAATTCAGCATGGGAAAAGCAAGATAACTGAATTTGCTGTTATTAACAAAAAAGACAACAAAGTACTGACCCTTCCATGACTATCCAGTCCTAAGTAATATAAACAAAGGCATTACATTCAAAGAATCTAAGTGAAAATCCGTTCTGTAAATAATTTTGTTTTTAAACTGCCAGCTGCTGATTTTTTTTCTCTTCTCATTCTAAGAAAGTGCCAAAGAGTAAAGATTCTAAAAATATTGAAGACTCATTGATTTGGAAGATAATCGAGAAATTGTAAGTTTTCTGAGAAAGAGCCTTCAGGAATTTGCGCATACATTGAAACTAGAAATTATTAAAGCCAATACAGAAATAAAAATGCAAATTGATTTATTGACAAACAAGGTACAGACTAGAGACAAAAAGTTTCAGTATCCTAACTCTCAGCATTTCTCCATGCAACAAAGGCAAGACTCCTTACAGAGGTTGAATAAAATAGATTTTAAATTCAAAGATCTGAAAGACAGATCCAGAATTTATAATCTACGCTGTAAGAATATCCCAGAAGTTAATGATCAAGATCAAGAAAGAAGTTTTTTATGTCAGCTTTTTGAAGAACTAGAGGTGAAAGATGAAAGATTAATCCATACAATCGCATGGATTCACCGCTACCCAGACCATAGGATGCTTCAAATAAATTCCCAAGAGATGTTCTATCTAAATTCCAACCATATGTATTCAAATGAATTATTACATAGTCAAAAAGAGGAAAATACCTGGATGATGATAAATTCAAAGATATTATGATTTCTTAGGACTCATGCTACTAAACAAGGTCACTCTCAAAGATTATTTATACCAATTCTGATGAAACTAAGACAAAACAACTTTAAATATAGATGTGGATTATTGGTCTCAATTCACATAATATGGGAAATTATTTTAGAGGAATGTTTTAAAGGAAAGATGATTTTTTGAGAGGATTTAAATATTGTACAATGGCTTTACATGTCATATATGGTCAGGAAATTTTAAGTTTCTTAATTTAATTTTTTTCTTTCACTTTGTGATTTATTAGAGCACATAAGTATTTGCACTAAAAATCAAAAAAAAGTTTGTGTGCTGGAGATGAATATATCAGTAGTTGATCAATTCACAGGGTTTTAAGAGTAATTAAACAATGCATAATGTCTTTATAGGTCATTCATTGATAGAACACATCAATCCATCAATCGTGTTTTTTTTTCCAAATGCGCACATTGAGGAGATTTAGGTATTTTGGAATATGATTTACACATTAAAATTATTATGTCAAGGGAATTTAAATATTCAAATAGTATTACATGGCATGTATTGAGAAATTCAAGATGTTTGTAATGGCACCCTCAGGCATAAAAGGGTTAAACCGCCGTTTAGAAGATCTTCCCCTTCCAGAGACACAGGCAGCTACTGTAGACACCAATCCACCGAACTGGAGAAGCATATGAATGATGTTAACAGCCGAACCGTAACCATACGAATACTGTAAACAGCTGAATAGGAAAAACCATACGAATAGGTTTACACTCCTAGCAGTCAAACTGGAACAGCATATAATAAATCCCCCCAAGAACGAGACAAGGCTCCGTTTTGAGGGTCAAGCAGGAACAGTCAGAGCTGTGGGTTTATTGTTCTTATATACACATTAGTACCACCCACAGAGTTTTGGAACACAACTAATAAACACATACAATACACTCAGACAACTGTGCAGCCATTGCACAAAACAGGTACATTCAACATATCCCCAGATAGCTCAGATCTGAGGCACATTATTACTGAATGACGCTCAGAGCACACACATACAGTTCAATTGCTATGGAGCCAAAGTCTTTCCCATAGTCTTTCATTATACGAATGGGCTCCATGGCATAGCTATCTGGGGTATCACCGCTCAAACAGGGCCAGCACCGAATGACCCGGCTTTCGTGTCTCCGCAGGGGAAAATCAAATGTTTCAACAAGGGGCCATAGTCTAAAGGCAGCAGGCGGGCAACCAGGCTCCAATGCACAGTGGCACAGATTGGTCTCGTCACATCTCTCCCCTTTTCCAGACAGACTAACAGGGTATCTGACCTCTTGCCGGTCAGTGCCCTGGTTAGTCCAGCAGCCCACCCACAAAGCATAAACAGTAATACAGCCCACCCACAATAACTGGTTACTACACCTGGGTAGAGGAGAACTTTGTCCATATCCAGGTGCCTCACCACGGCTGTGTGGGGGACTGGTAAGCTGCCTTGGTGGGTTGCTGAGTGGGCAGAGACCAGCGGTACTCTGCCCTGGTGCCAGCACTACCACGGAAGTAGTCTGGTTGGAGCCTGGTTGCTGGAGGGGGAGACCGACTGTCTCCCCTTTAGATGCACAGCTCTGCTGCTGAAGGGGGAGACCGACTGTCTCCCCTTTGGCTAAACAGCCCTGTCGCTGGGGGGCAGGACCGACTGTCCCTACCCCCTGTGCTGTAAATGCAGAGACCACGGTCCCATCTGCACGGTTGTGGGGCTTACTGTCTCCCCTGGTACATTAAGCTGCCGCTGGGGAGAGGGGATAACAAGCTCCTCTCCTATATATACTTCCAGCCGCGGGGGAGGGAGAGCGACTGTCTTCACTCCCAGTACAGAGTTCTGCTGCTGGGGAAAGGAGACTGGGCTCTCTATTCCCTGTAGGACATTCTGCCGCTGGGGAATGGAGACTGGGCTCCCAATTCCCTGCTGTATCTCCTGCTGGGGAATGGAGACCGGGCTCCCAATTGCCTGCTGTATCTCCCGCTGGGGAATGGAGACTGGGCTCCCAATTGCCTGCTGTATCTCCCGCTGGGGAATGGAGACTGGGCTCCCAATTCCCTGCTGTATCTCCCACTGGGGAATGGAGACTGGGCTCCCAATTCCCAATAACTCAGCTTGCCACTGGGGAATGGAGACCGTGCTCCCAATTCCCTGTTATTCACACTGCCGCTGGGGATCTGAGCCGACTGCCCAGCATCCCTGTAGCTCACCCTGCCACTGGGGAAGGAGGACGCTGCTCTCCTCTCCCTGCAAGGTACACTGCCGCTGGGGGACAGGACCAACTGTCTCTGCACCCTGTAACTCAGCCTGCCGCTGGGGAATGGAGCCTGGGCTCTGAATTCCCTGCAATTTACTCTGCCGCTGGGGATCTGTGCCGACCACTCAGCATCCCTGTAGCTCACCCTGCCACTAGGGAGGGAGGACGCTGCTCTCCTCTCCCTGCAAGGTACACTGCCGCTGGGGGACAGGACCAACTGTCTCTGTCCCCTGTAACTCAGCCTGCCGCTGGGGAATGGAGCCTGGGCTCCCAATTCCCTGCAGGACCGGTGGAGAAATCTTGGTCCCATCTCCACCAACCACCTGGGGTTCTTCCCAGTAATACTCTGCAATATCTACCCAGCTGAATGGGTCTGGATCTGGGTCTCCGCTTCCCTGCTGAGCCTTCTCACTGGAGTGGAACAGATCTTGGTAGCCCTGCTCCAGCTCCATCTCTCGGGTCACTAGGTGGACCAGGTCTTGCTCGATCTCATGAGTGTCGTCCCAGTCATACCTGCTCTCCCTCCACTCCAAGAGATCACTGAACCGGGCTTGTGTAGGGCTCCCAAACTCAGGCTCTGAAAAAGCCTCCCATAACAAGCCAGGACCATCAAACTCCTCTGCCTCTGGCTTGTCATGCTCAGCTGTCCAGGGCAGGTACTGTGCCCCATACCACCAGAGCGCCTGGTAGGCATCTTCCAGCCACATCTCCTGCCATACCCGGAGCTCCAATTCCTTCACCCATTCATCCAGGGGCTGCTCTCCCAGCAAGGGCATCCACAGGGCTAGTCGCTTCTGCAATCGCTGGTCTTCCTTGGGGAGTCTCTCGCCCCGCTGGTACTCCACAATACCCAGTGCCTGGTACCAGATGCCTTTGCGAACTGCATCTCGGTCATCCATGACACCCTCATCATACTCCACTGCTGGTTCCATCCTGGTGCTGTCAGGGTCGCTGTACTGGGACATGCGTTGCCGTCAAATTGTAAATCCACGGAATGGTGTCTCCTGTAGTTGTCCTTCTGGCTGTGGGAACGATCCCTCCACTTGCCACCAATTGTAACAGCACCCTCAGCATAAAAGGGTTAAGCCGCCGTTTAGAAGATCTTCCCCTTCCAGAGACACAGGCAGCTACTGTAGACACCAATCCACCAAACTGGAGAAGCATATGAATGCTGTTAACAGCTGAACCGTAACCATACGAATGCTGTAAACAGCCGAATAGGAAAAAACATACGAATAGGTTTACACTCCTAGCAGTCAAACTGGAACAGCATACAATAAATCCCCCCAAGAACGAGACAAGGCTCCGTTTTGAGGGTCAAGCAGGAACAGTCAGAGCTGTGGGTTTATTGTTCTTATATACACATTAGTACCACCCACAGTGTTTTGGAACACAAACAATAAACACATACAATACACTCAGACACTCCCACACAAAATCCGCCCCTCTGCCTGTGATACAATTACCTTACACAATGGGTAATGTAATTAGCACAAGCAGAGAAATAATTTTTTTCCACATTATTCATAACTTGAAAAAGTATGCATCACATTCACATAAAACTTATATTTTCAGAATCAGCATACTCCAAATACAAACATATGTCAAATTCATACAAATTGGTCCAATGGTTCAAAAGATAGATCGAAGTCCTTTGTGATCAAAGGAAGCATGGCTTTTCTGCCCAAAACCAGTTCCACAGAGTCTTCTATCCTGGAGATAATTGGGAAGTAATCCAATTATCTCCAAGGACAGAGGCAAAACTCCATTGAACACATGGCAGCAAAAGACAATAAAACACATAAAAACATATAACTGTGCAGCCATTGCACAAAACAGGTACATTCAACATATCCCCAGATAGCTCAGATCTGAGGCACATTATTACTGAATGGCGCTCAGAGCACACACATACAGTTCAATTGCCATGGAGCCAAAGTCTTTCCCATAGTCTTTCATTATACGAATGGGCTCCATGGCATAGCTATCTGGGGTATCACCACTCAAACAGGGCCAGCACCGAATGACCTGGCTTTCGTGTCTCCGCAGGGGAAAATCAAATGTTTCAACAAGGGGCCATAGTCTAAAGGCAGCAGGCAGGCAACCAGGCTCCTCCAATGCACAGTGGCGAGATTGGTCGCGTCACAATATTATTTAACTTTTTGTTTCTTTTCATAAATTTTACACAATAGTTATTTAATTACATATATGTTTATATTAAAAAATAATACACACGGTCACTTTAGAGTATAAGGTAGATACAGTAGAGGATGTTTTCATCCACAAGATTAAGAAAATTCAAATAAATTCACAATTGTTTTTTTTATGACACAAAATACTATGTTTTATTTTATTTTCAGTTTCCTCTCCTTCTTCCTTAGAAGCTGTTAATATTGGCAGTAGGTTCATTTGAACTTAAAGGTGTGTCTTCTTGCTCCAGTTGGCCACTCCATGCAACTTTCTGATTGTGGCTCAAAGAGAAATGTCATTTTCTTTTTTGGAATGTCATTCTAAAAAAAATTTTATGTCAGTTTTTACAGCCAGTGGTCATTAAACTGAGATCCTATCTCAGAGATACCACACACATTATCAAAATTCTGTCAGACATACATTGGAAAAAGCAATACATTCTAGTGACAGAAGATGTAACATCTCTCTACACAGTAATTTAACATCTGTAGGGCTGTGAAGCAATTCAATACAATCTAGTGTCAAATTAAGAATTGAAAAATTACCAAATTAATTATCTGGTTGAATGTATTGCATTTATTTTAAGTCACAACTTTTTCTGGGCAAATTGTAACAACTTTTTCTCCAGATTGAAGGCAAATGCCATGGGAACCAGGTTTGCGCCAAGTTATGCAAACCTCTTGGGGAAATGGGAAGATGAGTTTATTTGGAATAACTCCCCAGTGGTTGCAAACCTGGTCCTGTGGCAGAGATACATAGACCACTGTATCTTTATTCAAGCAATACCTTAATTTCAACTCTTACAACTTAAAATTAACTTTCCATCATTCAAAGGAATCTGTTGAGTTTCTGGATTTAGAAATCTATATCAAAGAAGATAAGATATACACGGAAACCTTAAAAAAATCAGTGGACAATAGCTTTATTCCCTTTAACAGTCACCATAGAAAAACTTGGCTGGATAATATTCCATACAGCCAGATTAGAAGTATCAGGCGTAACTGTTCTAAAAGGAAAGTATGCAAATCACAGATGGTAGAAATGCAGAAATCATTTTTAATGGAGGGGTATGTGGAAGACCTTCTGGAAGGAGCAATGAATAGAGCTTTAGCTTTATCCAGGGAAGATACTTTGGTAAACAAATTGAAAACACCCCAACAAACAATATAAACTCCATCTTTCATAACACAATACCTCAATCAATCTTTTGAAATAAAAAAGATTCTCAATAGACATTGGAATATACTGAAAGGAGATCCACTACTGGATCAAATTCTTGGAACTAAATTGAAGATAATCTACTCTAGAGCACCTAATCTAAAAACAATGCTAACCCCATAATTAAAAGAGAAAAAAAGCCACTTTGAATCAGTAGGAACAGGATTCTACAAACGTGGGAAGTGTATGGGCTATAGAAATAACCTGACTCAAGAATCTCAGATCAATTAATTTAAGCATATGGAGACTGGAGAATGTTTAAGGATCACTGATCACTTAAACTGCAATTCAGTTGGGGTCATTTATCGCCTAATATGTCCTTGTGAGAAATAATACATTGGTAGGACAAAAAGGGCCTTTAAGACAAGATTAGGAGAACATATCAGGAATATTAAAAAGTCCCCCCTCACACATAATCTCTCCAGGCATTTTTGCAACAAACACTCAATGAACCCTGAGGGATTAAAGTTTATGGCCATTGAAAGAATCATCTTACATTGGAGAGGGGGATACATGGAAAAGGCCATAGATAGAGCAAATGCTAAGTGGATTTTCCAACTAGACTCCCTGGAACCAGAATGTCTAAATGTAGATTTTTAACGGAATGCATTTTTATAAAAAATATCTCCCGATCCCCCTGTATTCCTCTTACATAACCATTAGATACTAGATAATATGCAGCTGCTTATTTTATCTGGTGCTGATTTCTATCTGTTCCTGACTTAAACCAATTTTGCTATAATTTTAATATAATATATTATTCAAGTTTTTATGTTTTTAGTAGTTAGGAAAATATACTTTTACCACTATTTATTTCCCACTGTTGAATTTTCACATCCATTTGAAGGATCTATCTTCTTTATCTTCTACTATTTTATTTGTGTGGCAGGACAAGAAGATGGACACGTCCCTGGATTTAGAGTTAATTGTACTATGCAATTGTAGTGAATAATGTTTCTTATTAAATTTGGAATACAACCAATTTTAAAAAGTAGACATCTCTCATGCTGTGTGTTGATGCCTCTAACATTAAACAATACAAACTTTAATCCATTTGTGTATATTACAATAAAACCCATTAGATCAAATAGTATATGGCTAAAATAAAAATAAATGTAGAGGCTCAAATCACAATCCACCCAATAGAAGGTCTGAAAGCTAGTATAAGAAGGAAGAACTCCAAAATATATATATACATTTGTATTGTCAAGTTGAGCAACTACATTAGTTGAGCAACATCAATTACTCTATGTAATGTGTACACAAGCAAAATAAACAATAGTAGAGTTGCATTTTCATTGTACTTATTTTGCAATACTAGTGTATGTAAGCAAATAGGCCATAAGAAAGGGAGATAAATAAGAGAAAAAAAAAGTTGTCACTTCTAAAAAATAAAATGCCTATATGATGGGGTGAGAAATAAATACATGGGAAAAACATTCTCTCTATCCACATGTAATCATGTGAATAGACCCAGAAACATTTTTGAGAACACAAATTTAACACAAATAAAACAGATGAATTAGTAAAAACCAAAATAACAATAAAAAAATACATTAACTGAGCATATTAATAAACTTTGTAGAAATCACTTTCTAGACATAAATCTTGAACATGCATATAACATTATGAGCTTTGATTATCACCCACTAAGCATCCAAAAATTAGACATTTTTTTCATTACAACTAAAATTACTCTAAAAGCATATTGTATTTGGAATGATTAGGAAATTTAACAATTGCTTCTGGGCCATGCCTTTATCTATTTTGAAACACAATGTCCCACAAATTGACTTTACATTTTAGGTGTTTCCATTCTATTCAAGTCAATACAACTTCTTTGTTTGTAATAGTGTACTTTCTTACAATAAATTGAAAGAGAAATAAAACGTATATGTATCTGCTGAGGGGGGATATGATATTATCTCGTCTGTGCTTCAAGAATGCTTTGAGGTTTCAGAACTGTAAATTGGAGATAACAAATTTAGAAAAAAATATGTT